GAGGTAAGGGAAGGTTGTTGTTGATGACGACGTATTGGCCAGAAAATATCAGAGTCATGAATGAGTTGTTATATTTTGGCACCTTACACCTTACACTTAGTGTCAGTGCTGTTTTCATTTGACACTTGAGTGCCAAATGAATGAAGTGTGATTTGTATTTGACACTTGAGTGTAAGGTGCTATTTGTATTTGACACTTGAGTGTAAGGTGCGAAATGGATGTTGATTGAAATGGAGGTACTAGTTTGTGAACCTAACCATTCTACTTCGTGTTCATATAAAAAGGTCAATAACGAATCTATCAAACAAAAAAAAAGGCATGATTTAATCTCATGCATCTACTTTCCTTACGTATGTTAGCTTGGACCTTCGTATGAAAGGAGTTAGGAGGCACAAAAGATGATATGTTCCTTTCATTCACGATGATAGACTCAGCCGTTAAGAAGTATGACTACGAAACAAAAAGTGATTCCAGTTCCCTTAATTGTACCCTTCTGATTGCTTCAGCTTGACTTTTGCTGTTACCGTCATTCCCAAATCACTCAAATTCGATTACATCAGCCAACAACAGTGTTGAGCACCATTCTCTTGTTCTTCTCACCGTTTTTGTAACAATTGAACAAAAGTACATGTCACTATGAAGAAAAGCTGGCAAGTTTCACTCCCCTGTTGAACCAAATGAAAATGTTTTCCTGTACTGCAAGTGTTTTTCCTCAACATAAATCGTCTCTCAAGTTCATTCAGCAAGCTCTGACATCCTGTTCGACAACTTCATCTCAATCTCTTTCAACGCCGTGTTGTATGGCGCAACATCAACTCAGAAAACAGGTGCTGAACGGTGGAACATTATTTGAACCACTGCCTCACAACGCTTCACCTTAGAAAATGAGCGTGAGTCTATTCTTCCCTCCATAAACTAAATTTCGTAGATGATCATTTGGTATTGTCGTTGTCAGACGAATTGTCCAAAAATTGCGTTCGTGATACTCGATGATGATTGTGTAGTGAAGAGAATTTTGAGGCCCGTTGCTCACAACCGTGAAGACGGAGGTTTGTAATTTCAAAATAATATTTAAATAAATTAAAAAATATACAGGTGCTGATGACACTCGGCACTCAAGTGTCAGGTGCTGTTTGCATTTGGCACTCCAGTGTTAAGTGCTATTTGTATCTCCTTTTTGGGACTACGTGCCATTGCAAACGGCACTAAAGTGTAAGGTGTAAGGTGCTAAAAGGTATGTCCTCGTCATGAGTAGACAAGTGACAGTTTTATTACAAGTACCTTACCTTAATAACCATCCATCCAGTAGTACTATTGGAACCCCATTCATACAATGAGCCATTCATAATGTTGTATGGAGCCATCAAGTCCGGACACACAGTTTACAAAAAATCCTTCGCCGGTACAATGAACTTGATGTCGGAAAACGAACTAAAATTTCATCAAACACAACTTCCATACAACATGCTCATCTCTGGGTCGATCCCACATAATACAATGATGGACAATCCAAGGACACATCA